CGCCGGAATTGTCACCGGAGTTGACCAAAAGTCGCCGGAGTTTCACCGGAGTTCAACCAAGAAGGGTAGAACTTCATACGCTAGTTCAAGGTGAGTGGACGGCTTAATATCTTATAACTTTTGGGTCAATTATGAGATTACCTAAATAAATGTTATATGAGTTCATAATAATGTTTAAAAGATATTTAAACATGTGATTAGCCAATAGGGTTAAGTTTTGTATGAAAGGAATTAATTATTTATGCATGGAATGTAATATGAGAAATTATATATATATGCATATTTGCTTTAAGAGTAAAAGAAGCACAAATGGATATTATTAACTTAATTATATGATGAATTAGTTAATAAGTGTAAGATTTGAGATGGCGGTCAACAACAACGTTGACCGATGGTTAATGGATTAATTAATATCGGTTGATATTAGTTAATTATACAATTATATGGTTGCATGGATTTGCATGGATTGTGATACATAAGCCTTATGTAGTGAATTAGTTATGAATGACTAAATATGATATAGACCCTATCTAGTGTGATAAGTGGTAAGTCATAGGTCGGGTGGAGTACCCAAGGATCGGGCGGTTATCCTCAAAACTCAATTATAGGGTGGAGTACCCAAGGATCGGGCGGTTATCCTCAAAACTCGGTTATATAGGGTGGAGTACCCAAGGATCGGGCGGTTGTCCTCAAAACTCGGTTATATAGGGTGGAGTACCCAAGGATCGGGCGGTTATCCTCAAAACTCAATTATAGGGTGGAGTACCCAAGGATCGGGCGTGTATCCTCAAAACTCATAGATTACATTTAATGATCTAGGACCGGGCGGTGTCCTTGTGATAAATTATTTGAACAAGGAGGAGTTCTATACACTCATAGGTATATGGGTGGGTTGGGATTTAAGTCAAGGATATTGGCTACTATTATTTTCCCAAATAAACAATGACCTACGGGTCGGGTATTTCCAAGTGTATGTATACAAATATGTATTTCAAACTTGGGGAAAGGACTATACGTATATGTATCACCCTATGTTTGGGTCTTATACTTGAAACGCTAGTTATTCTATATTTAGCCTGCTACTCGCTCGGTACTTGTACTGACCCCTTCGGGGGGCCCCACCATTTTCAGGTTGAAGCTAGGGCTTGCTACCTGCACCTTTCTACGGGTGACATCAAATCAAGGAAGACGTGGTTCGTGCTTCCTCATTTTATTTCAAAGTACCAAACATTGCTCATGGATATTTTTATTTGTTATAAACCATTTTTGGGCTTGCATGCTCATGTTATTGGCCGGTTGTGGCTTATGACTTACCGTTGAATATTTCCGCTATTCATTGGTTTAAATGTGATGTTGTTATGTATGTTTACTACTGAGTATGGATGGATTGTTTTCTCAAACGCCTTGTGTAATTAAGTGAGGTTGACTCGCGGGTGACGTCACTAAATTATACGGCGGTTGTACACGCGCTTGGATTGCGGTCTGGGGCGTGACATCACTGGTACTAGTGTCGGAATTAAGGATGTTTAAAATGGCTTGGACCTGTGCGTGGTTCAAACCCTGCAGTCCCCCAACTGTCGGGGACGGTATACTGCTACTGGATTCCACTGAGGCAAGAGCGGGTGCAACGGCGTGAGCACGAGCTCCTCCTCCTCGGTTAGCAAATGTTCCGGGCACCCCTTTGCTGCGGTTTCTATCTTCCCACCACTCCGGGTAGCCATGAAGCTTGAAACAATTCCCGACTTCATGTCCACATTGTTTACAGTGACTGCACTGAAGTTTCATTCGTTCCTGTTTGTCCAATTTTCCTTTAGGTGGCTCGGCCTGGAGTGCGAATGCATGGTTACTGGCAGCTACAGTCTTCCCTCGAGCAACAGCCCGAGACCTTTCCTCCTGAAGAAAAAGCTGATGGGCGCGAGTAATGTCAGGCACAGGATCTTGAGACAGTATATTGGACCTCACCGTTCCATAAATTTCGTCATCAATCCCAATTAAAAATTGGTGTAATTGTTCTTCCTCCCTGTCTGCAGCAAACTTAGCCACCACGTTGCAAGTACACAACCCACAGGTGCAGGCATGAACCGGCTTCAATCGATAAAGTTCATCATATAATCCCATTAATTTTGTAAAATATTCATCAACAGACATAGATTTAGTCTGTCTACATTCCGTAATTGAAGCCTTAAGCTGCTGCAATCGCGGTCCGTTTGTCTCGCTAAACCGTTTTTCAAGATACTTCCATAGCAACTTTGCCTCTTCATGGAATGGAATAGAGACGACGAGGGACGGGTCCATGCTGCGAAGAAGCCATGACACCACCATCGAATTATTCGTCTCCCAATCCAAAAGTCTGGCTGCTTCCGTCGGCTTCGGAAGGCTTCCGTCGATGAATACATATTTCCGACGTGCCTTCAAAGCCAGCGTAATTGCTCTTGACCAGTTAACATAATTATCTCCCTTCAAGATGATATGAGTAATAAGGTTTCCGGGCTGATCACCGGAACCTAAATAATAAGGAGAGCTCGGATCTCCCATGTCTTTGAGCAGGTCACGCTGGTGATGCTCGTTCGTCCGAGGAAGAGAAGTCTGCTACGCGTATGCCTTAGCCGATAATACACGGCTCTGATACCATGTTAGATTTAGGAGTTGTAAGTAATTGGAAATTATTTGTTATTCCCATAATGAAACGCAAGGCAGTATATATACACTTGAATCCAAGTCTAAATGAGCTCTACTGCACACGGCCCAAGGCTATACTAAAGAGACTAATTACAAAACTAGGCTATTAAAATACAATATGATCCAATATGTTTGGTTGGAGGATTTCGGAGGAAAGGAGGGAAGTGGATGATTTGTGTGTGTTTGGTTGAAGGGAATAGGGGGGAAGGGAAGGAAAGTCGAAGGCTTCTAAAATCCTCCACTTTCTATCATTCTTAATTCCCCAAATCGGGATATTTCGGAGGAAACGTGTTGATAACGATAAACTATCCATCATTTTTCTCCTACGTGAATGGATAAAACGTTATAATATAAAAAATGTAAAAAATTAAAAAATCTTAAAAAAATTAAAATATTAAAAAAAAACTAAAAATTAAAATATTAAAAGATCTACAGTATAAAATTTGAAAAAATAAAAAATTCAATATATATGTATATATATTATGACTCGTGACCTTAGGAGTAATATTCATAATAGTTAGAGATGTATCTAATTTTTTAAGTAAGCTATCAAATAAAGGTAAGTTGGGAAAATATTTTCATTAAACTTTCCTCCCATTTCCTCCAACCAAACACAAATTTTTATCAAAATTCTTCCTTCCCCTTCCCTTTCCTTCCCCCCTCTCCCCTTCCCTCACCTCCATTGAACCAAACAAGGCCTAAGAGATCAACCTTAATATCAAGATGATATGAGTAATAAGGATCAAATTTATTTGCTAGCATCACTTACTTGTGTATATTGTACTACGTAGTATAATTGTTCCTTTGTTGTTATTTAGGCCGGGTACTCCTTGAACCAATCCCTTGTTTGTGTTTTATTTTGTTTCTTCTATTCTCATTCGTATCTCTTGATTTCCTGAATTGTCATGTGTGGAGGTAGACTTTGTTTTGCTTGTGTTTTTCCTTTTTTCCTTTAGAATAATGTAGATTAAGTTGGGTGATGAGAAGTTTTTTCGTTCACTTAGGGTTCAATTGTGCCCATTTTTGGAACAAATTATATATATTTTTTTAAGGTGATTAACTCTAAACTTGATTGTAAAGCTAGCGTTTAAAGTTTGACTTTTTATCTTGATGTAATCGCGTAAAAAGAAGGGAAAATGGAAAATAATAAGTCAACCTTTTAGCAATCTTCTTACAATAGTCCCATATTTTCGTTATTAAAAAATAATCTTACCTTTGCACCCCATATTCATTCGTTGGTCTCTTACCGGTTAATGACATGTTATTCCAAGTTATTTTCTTATCTTTGCAAAATATTATTTTTGTGAAAGGTGAGATTTATGATATAATGGTTTGCAAAGATAAGAAAATGACTTGGAATAGCAGATCATCAACCGGTCAGGGACCAGTGAATGAAGATAAGGTGCAAAGGTTATATTATTCATGAATAACGAAAAGATGAAACTGTTGTAAGAAGACCGCTAAAATGTTAGATTATTAGTTTCCATTTTCCCTAAAAAGAAACATTCCAAACACCTAGATAAGTGTAGCATGCACCTAAAATAGACATAAGTTAGACATGACTTTAACGGACTAAATTAGATTAAACTAGATAGATATACACCCAAACTAGAAGTTTCACTCTCATTAGTAAATCGGAGTATTTGAGTTAAACCCGCACGGGTAGCTCAATTGGTTGAGTGGTGGAAATTTGAATCAAAGAACCCTGGTTCAAGTCTCCGCAGCGACCGTGTGGAGGTCACAATCTCTGAAATGGGCTAGACCTCTGGCGCGCACAGGCATATGGGCCTACTATCACCATGGCCGGCCTTGGCCATATGCTCCAAGTGCAATGGCACAGGGCCCAATAAAAATAAAGGCCAAAAATGATGAGTAATATGGAGTACTATGTAGTACACATAGCTCAAGGTAATTCTGCCAACAAAAAGGGTATCGAGTGGTTAGATGTTCTTTCTATAGTTGATTTAACAAATTTTATTATTGTACTATTAGGTTGTTAAATTTGTAATTGTTTCACTATTATACTTTTATAAGTAATAATTTGGTTTTTTGACTTTGTAATTGTTAGTTACTACAGAGTATATAGTAATTATTAGTTACTACGTAGTAACCTGTTTTTTTACATAAATTTTTAATTTTTAATTACTATTTTCATTTTATCAACATGATTGAAAGCGGTTCTAATTTATTAGAAGAAAAAAGGCTTAATTTTTTCTATTGCACAGGGTCTCTGTTTTTCTAGGACCTGCTCTGATTATCACTCCGCCGACTGAGTTATCATGATATACATCCTCCCATCTACTACGTTGGATCAGGGCGTGGGGGGCTCCGGAGTGGGATATTCCACCTCATCAAGGAGTATTTGAGTTAAAATAGATTTTAATGATTTTAAAGTCAGTCATCCAGGAACGCATATTTCATGTTTGTGGATAAACTCACTTCGCCTGTACAAATTCTGCTTATCAATGGCGAATTTTAGCAGTAGTTCTTTAAGCTCGACTCAACTCCGAAACCCCAAACTAAACTGCAGTGTCGGGGTTCATTTTTCATCACGCAATTCGAGAATTTATTATGTGTTCAAGAACAAGAGCCAAAATGTTTCCTTCACTCTTTCTTGTAAGCTCAACATCACCAGAAAGAATCAGGGTGAAGTGCAGAAGAGTGTGCCCCGCAAGATAAAGCTGCCGGAATCTGACATAGCTCCCAAGCTCTTAGAAGTTGGAGGCGCCGGAAATGGCAACTCTCCTATGAATCCACCGCCGGTGAGGAGGAGCAAGGCCGGTGGTTTGGGGCTGTTAAGGATATTGCCCAAAAGGGTAGTTTCTATTCTGGCTAATTTGTCCTTGGCTATAGCTGAGATGTTTATCCTTGCTGTCTTAATGACCATAGGTATTCTTTCTCTCCCCCCATGGATGGTTTCCTATATTTTTAGAGCTCTTTTGCAGATTTTAAGTTTAGAAGGGTTAGGATTAATAATTGGGAAGAAGACATTCAGTTGGGTAGTAATGCTCACTAGCTAAATTGCACTAAAAATTGAAACAATCAACAAGTAGTATAACTAAGAATATACAAACTTATATGTGTGTCTCTCAATATTATTTCGACAAAGGATTAAGGGCTTGTTTGGCTCTAGGATTTCGAAGGGAGTGAGAGGAGGGGGATTTTTGTTTCAATGATATAACTCTAATTGCTAGTCTTAGGCTAGAAATGACTATCATTAGCTAGATCATGTATTCCATATGGTTTTTTATTTTCACATTTCAACCATCTAAATGCAGAAATAATTTTAAGGAAAAATTCCACGAATATTACTTCTGAAAAAGTGATGGACAAAAATGTTACTTAATAACTTTTAGTGACTACAATTATGTTCAAAGTTTACATCATAGTCACTGCATCATAGTAACTTTCACTAAAAGTAATCGAGTCATATTTTTGTCCATGACTTTTATATTAGTAATATTTTAGGACAAACCTCTAATTTTAAATTATTATCACTCCACCTCTTCACCATCCAGAATACCTGAACCAAACAAACCCTAAGGCTTAATGGTACAATTTAGATTTAGAACTAAAATTTAACATCTTATATTTCAAATTGCTTCAATAATTGTGTGAGGAAGTTTGTACCTTTAGAAGCTATTTGATTGAAATTTAAAAAAGAGGTGTCCTTAAAATCAATTTTAAGCAACATAATGAAACACTATTAATTATGCTTGTTCTTTTTATTCTACTCATAAGCAAACTAATGCCACCAAACAGGGGGCATAGTATCTTTTGCATCAATATTATCATGGTTTAAAGAAAAATAGTAATGTTCATTCAATTCACCACCCTATTCATGAATCAACGATATATTTGAATTGAGATTGGATAAAAGTTGAGTTGTTTTATTTAACTACCCTATTCTGCTGCAAAATAAGATCATTTATGTGTACATTTGTTTTTGTGTAGGATCACTTATACAACAAGGGCAGGCTCCGGATTTTTATTTTCACGAGTTCCCCGAAAATAATCCACTGTTTGGGTTCTTCAGCTGGAGATGGGTTCTCACTCTTGGCTTTGACCACATGTTTTCTTCTCCCTTATTCTTAGGAACATCCGCTCTACTAGGGGCATCATTGATGGCCTGCTCTTATACAACACAAATACCCCTAGTTAAAGTAGCAAGAAGGTCTGTTTTAGTTTGAGTTTGCCAAACTGTGTCTTTTCCCCACCTCTTTGGGTTAACAACTGCAGGACCAATATGTAGGTGGTCATTCATACACTCAACTCAGGCAATTCGTAAAAATGAATATTCAGACACTTTAGTTCAAGCATCGGTACGAGATTTGGGGGTCATCCTGATGGGAGCTGGATATGAGGTGTCATTTCTTTCTTTACTTTTTTCTTTTGTTTCTTCTACTGCCCATATAAAATATGAAAACCAATTTAATATCTAGATTTGGTGTTCCATCCTAAAAAGTTAATCAGATGGGAGTAATCCAATATTATGTATGTGAGTTACTGAGTTTGTTTCTTCATAATGAGCCAATGTAGCATGGCTTTACAAACCAGTGTGTTTGTTAAACCAGTCCAATCTAGCAATCTGTCTGTTCTTTTTTAACTTTAGTCTGATCAAGCTGATTGCTTGAGTTTATTTTTCTCTTATATCACATTAGTACTGGGGTAATGTTGTTGTTGTTGTATCATATTAGTACTTGAGTCTTTATCCGGAAAGATCAATCTGATAAGATCATTAGTCCAAAACCTTATATGTGAGATCTTATCTTTATCGTTAACTGTTGTGGGATGACTTAGCACATATAAGACCATGAACTACGCATGTGACTAATATGACTCTGTTGCTGCATATCTAGGTATTCCTAAGGGGTTCAGCTCTATATGCGTTTAAGGGTCTGGCAGGTCGGATTGCTCCGATTGGGGTACATTTGGCATTGTTATTAGTAATGTCAGGAGGAACTCTTAGTGCCACTGGCAGCTTCAGAGGGTCCGTGAATGTTCCACAAGGTCTCAACTTTATTATAGGCGACATACTTGGGCCCACAGGGTTTTTGTCTACTCCTTCAGAAGCATTCAATACTGAAGTTCATGTCAATAGATTCTACATGGACTATGCTGATGATGGACAGGTATGGCTGCAGGGGTTTTCCTATAATATTACTGAAATAAAGTTTATTTTCAAATATATGAATACCGTCAATGTTACTGCATAGTAAAATTGAAAATAACTGCGAAAATAATGACAGTCATAATCATTGAGTTGTAAAAGTCACATTTGTCCATTACTTGGACTTTAGTCATTATTTCAAATCTATAAGGACTGATCAGTAATTTTTTTGTAGTATAGATTTCACAATTCCGTACTGATCTGTCACTAAATGACCTCGATGGGAAGGAGGTAATGAGGAAGACAATAAGTGTGAATGATCCATTAAGGTATTGTGACATAACCATATACCAAACAGATTGGAGCTTTTCAGCACTGCAGATCATGAAGGATGATGAAGGACCCTTCAATTTGGCCATGGCTCCTCTAAAGATTAATGGAGACAAGAAGCTATTTGGTACATTTCTGCCTGTCGGTGATGTTAATTCTCCCAATGTAAAGGGAATGTAAGGTTTATGGCTGTGACTGTTAACAGTGTTCCATGATTATATGTATATATAATGATATGGGTTCAACTAGGTGATATTTAACACCCTTTTCTGTTTCCCCCCTTTTTATTTGTTTGAGAATCCAGATCGATGCTGGCACGTGATTTGCAATCAATTATCCTTTATGATAAAGAAGGGAAATTTGCCGGAGTCAGACGGCCTAACTCCATGCTCCCGATTGAGATTGATGGGACGAAAGTTGAGATTGTAGATGCAATTGGTAGTACTGGCCTTGAGCTGAAGGTAATAATATACCCTAAGTGTATGTTTGCATTCTATAAAATGCTAGAAAAATGGAAAATAGATACAACGTAAAGTTATTATCTTAGGTCGGTTTTACCTCTGTAAGGGCAAAGAAAATGGAAAATGATTAGTTTTTAAAGACTATAGATATGTAGATTTTTTAGTGTTTATAAAAGGGAAAAGGTGCAAATAGACCCATGTACTAACCAGAAAAGGTCAAATAAGCCCTTATTTAGGAGGCTTTGTCCGGCCGTCGCCATTTGGAGTGGTTCCCGGTGGAATTTTTTGATGAAATTTTTTGAGCATCTTATTCGTTAAGTCTAGTTTACTCATATCAAATTTCATCTAAAACTTCCATCGGGAAGGCATTCAAATGAATTCTTGAAATTAACTACGCAGTTAGAAGCGCAGTTATCTTCAAGAATTCATTTGAATGCCTTCCCGATTGAAGTTTTAGTTGAAATTTGGTATGAGCAAACTAGACTTGATGAATAAGATGCTCAAAAAATTTCATCAAAAAATTCCACCGGGAACCACCCCAAATGACGACGGCCGGACAGAACTTCCTAAATAAGGACTTATTTGACCTTTTTTGGTTAGTACATGGGTCTATTTGCACCTTTTCCCTTTATAAAATAGACATAAATAAATTAAATGAACATCAACAAATATCTAATGTAAGTTTTTTTTGAAAATTTCGTATATCGGACTAAACGTAAAGTATTTATTGTCTTAGAGTGTATGACTCATTGATTTCTATAACAAAAAAAGTTGTTGAAAGCTTTTGTTCATTTCTTGGGATTCAACGAGTATTATTTTGAGTATAAAATAATACTTCTATTTGTGCATATGAGTCGTGACTTACGCATATTTTCTATAACTCTTTTAAGTTTTTTTAGTGTAATTGTACTTCATATGTATGTGAATATATAGATATGAGAAATCTTCTTGTCCGGCCACCTCGTTTTGAGGTGGTTCCCTGTGGTAGTTTTTGTTGTTCTCAATGAAGTGTAGATTATGTTCACCAAATTTCATCTAAAAATTCAATCGGGAAGGCGGTCAAATAATGTTTTTAACATAACTCTGCCAAAGTATACATATAAAACACAATTATTTTCAAAATTTTATTTGATTGCCTTCCAGATTGAATTTTTAGTTGAAATTTGGTGAACATAATCTACACTTTATGGGAAACATGCTCACAAAATTTCAGCAAAAAAATACTACAGGGAACCACCTTAAAACGAGGTGGCCAGACGTCATTCCTTTCTGTCCTGACCAGACACGAATATTTGTGACATATATATATATAGTTGAGTTCAAATGAAAGAAGACATCTTAACGTGTAAAATGAGAATTAGTCTCAGCCGTCCAAACTGTCAATCTGATGCACAATAACCCTTATCTAATGCACTCTCGAATAAACCTTATGTGATGCACTTTTCAAATACAACTTATCTGATGCACTTTTGAAAAGTGCATCGGATAAGATTTATTGTGCATCAGATTGACTTTTTAGACGGCTGAGATTATATCTCATTTTACATTTTAAGAACTTTTTTTATTTGATCCAAACTATATACGATAGTATATATTACCTCCGTCCCACTAATATTGGGACAAAAGAGGGTAGCACGGTTATTTAGAAAATTGAGTTTGTGTGGTTGATATTTATTGATAAAGTAAGAATCAAGTAAGAATGATTTAGAACCACACAAACTTTACCAAATTTGGTATGAGACAATTTTAGTGGGATTTCCCGAAAATGTAAAATGGGACAATATTAGCGGGACGGAGGGAGTAATAGTTATGACGTACATATTCAGAAATGATGTAAGAAGTTTTACTAGGTTGCAAAAGATTAAATCCAAAAACGATAAAAATTACTACGTACTATGTATTATATAAAAGTAGAGATTAAAATAAAGTTGACTAAATGAATAGAATGTGAGAACCCTTAAATGAAGAGGAGTACTTTCTTGTACCACATTAGTTACATTTTATTTTTCTACACATCAAGTAAACATATTTATTCCCCCCACATTTTCTTTCCTATTAATTTTCATCTATGTTTTCTTTCTATTTTCGTTCCCTTATATTTTCTGGGTTCTAAACAGACCTAGGGGTGCCAATTGTCATGCTTTTATTTTTTTGTATTGTACTTTGTTGCGTATAAAGATACTGAAATAGATACTGCACTTCAGACTGATCCAGGGGTGCCAGTTGTGTATGCTGGTTTTGGAGCTTTAATGCTTTCAACATGCATCAGTTACTTGTCACATGATCAGGTGAGTTCTGTTTGACAATGGGTCCACTCTGTAGTCACTGTTAACTTGTAAAGTTGCCCCGAATTGTTAAGATATAAAAATCTAAACCGCTAATACTAATTTCATAGTGGAGTTATGGTTTGAAAATGGGTTTCCATATTGAAAGATCAACTTAATAGAAGAAGCGGTACAAAGTCTTATGTCATTTTGTATCTTAGAAATTTGTTGTCCTCAAATGATTTGAGAGAGAGGCTTGTTAGAGCGAACAGCGGAGTTGCTATTGAAGTTTGAGTTTCCATATTAAAAGATAGACCTTATAGATGATGTCCAATGACATACATGTGAGTTTGTGTCTTCGCATTTGGTCCATGAAATAAGTTAACCTTGTAGGATCCTGTTGCTCGTTTGAGAGTATGCACTTGGATACCATGTTAAGATTTGATGTTCAAAACAACAACAACATCCATATTGAGATCGACTAACATGAATCGATACATGATGCAAAAGTCAAAGAAGGGTAAGAAAGATAAAAAGATAAGTAAAGCTAAAGATAAATATAAGATAAAGATAAAAATGATAACATAAAAAGGTTAAAAAGAATATATTTAAAATAAAAAGGATACAAGGATAAAGAACATAAGAAAGATAAATAAGGTCAAAAGATAAAAGGATAAAAAAGATGAAAAGAGATAAATCCTCCACCTTTCAAAAAAACGAGATAAATCCTCCACACGAATAAAAAAAGATTTGATGTTCCACTCTAAAAATCAATATAATATAGAAGTAGCTCAAGACTTTTATATGATGTGAATTTGTATCTATGTAGTTAAAAGTTCCACCATATCAATCTGGATGGTTGACCGAATCTTTTCTATAAATTTATATGTACATGTATGAGTTGCCTGTAATTTCAGTAGTGGTGACTGTGGTTGGCTTTGACTGTTTTCGCATCACCTTCTAAAAGATATGGGCCTTCCAAGATGGAACAAGTGTGGTAGTGGGAGGAAAAACTAACCGCGCAAAAGCTGAATTTCGAGATGCAATAAGCCGGTTGCTTGATGAAGTCCCTGAAATAGTTGAATCTTCTTCGTCCAAGGAATCCAGCGATCAATAGCTCTGAGGCATTTTACTTGGACCAAAGCAGCAGTGTAAATAACTTTGAATCTGCAACGTACGGAGTTCACCAAAAGGACGCATGACTTGTTCCGATAAACTTGGAGAAGAAACCATGGGTGGGTGGGTCTTACATAACCTTGGCAGTGCCAAGGCATTGGTTTACTTCTTCAAGAGAAGCTTGGCTAGGGAAATTCTTTAATGATGTTTTGATTAGAACACAGACACTTTTAAGGTCTGTTTGGTGGATGTAAATATTGGTTAAATGGGTGGCTGGGCTGCAGTTGTTGAAGGTAAGGTTAAAATGGTAGGATTGCCTAAAAATGTATTGAAAATACTGTCCCAACATAATGATATCTGAAAGAAATTTAGATGAGGGTGAATTTTCTCCTCTTTTTTTTGCATTCTGTCTAAAACTCCTAAAAGGGTAGTAATTTCTTTTTTATCACAACTACTATTATGATTATGATTACTATTACTAGCATTATAATTATGATTACCTCTACTACCTTTAATGATATTAGCATTCAGTATTTTGGCGGTTAACTTAACTCACTTTTTAATGCTAATAATTTATGTAATGTTTTTTTATTGAAATTGAATTCGTTTTTTGCATTACAATTGAGGTTTTGGTCAGATTTTGAATTATGTAGCCTAGTTTTTAATGTTTTTATTAACCGGGGGAAGTCTATGTAGACATAATGATTACTCTTAATTTAAATACTAGTATGAAATAATGATGAATATATGAATAAAATAAAGGTAGTAGACAAAATTGTGATTTTTTATGTTTTATTGACTATAATAATAATTTTTATGACCATGATTAAGTTAATTTTACACTACAATCACTATGACGATTTTTTTTTCTTCTGGGAGGATCGGGGGACTGGGGGGCCTTGGGGTAAATTGAGATTAAACTTACTTCATTGAGTATTAAATTCGAAACCTCTTATAAGGGAGAGTGAGTTGGAGACCAATTGAGTTGGACAGTTTCCTCTCAGTCACTATGATACAATCATGAAATTCAAGTTATATTTTTGTCCAAAGATTTATTAGTATAATATTTAAGGAAAATCTTTTCAAATATTCTAAAAAGAACTTATGCTATGTTGTTAAAACTGGACCGGAAGGCGATCCGGAAGTGACTGGTCACTGGGTCAATCTGGACCGACGGGTCAACCAGGTCAACGGCTAATGAAACGGTCAATATGTGCTAAAATAAAAATACAAACTGTATATTGTTTGTAAAGGGAAAAGTTATTCTCACTTATACAATTTAATAATGATAAAGCATTATAATCACATAAAAATAATTATACGAGTATTTCTAAAATATACAATTTCTAACAAATATTAAAAAAAATGCTTTTAAAAATTATAGAGACAATAGATGTGACTAAAACAATTAGTACAAAAATTTTAAAAATTGTACAAGTACTTTTTATACACAGTTGGATAGTATAGAATAGTAAAGATAAATGATGAAACAAGATTGAAACAAGCAGATTAACCGGCCAACTCCAGGTTCTGACACGGGTTATGGGCCGGAATAGAATAACTTCTTTTGATTTTGGCGGGTTTTGAAATATTGACGGGTTAGATTAAACCAGCCAGTTATTCTAAGCGGGGTTGACGGGTTCCAGTTTGACCCACCCGGACTGAATTGGGTCTTGTAACCCAGCTTATGTGGCGTCAAGTGGTTACTACTTACTACTGGTTACTGTTCTTATGAGAGATGAAAGTAAAGCGTGAAGTGAAGGCTTGAATCTTTTTTTCTGAAGAGGCTATGGTTCTGGGGGGTTCAAGGATTATTTACCTTATAGACTTGTATGGCTTTGTTGGGATTATTTACCTGATACACGATTACATCGATACAAGGATATGGATGCTGTGATATAGCAAATTTAAAAAATATATGATACAAGTACAACTTCACGGGGTATATTTCCAAATACTAAAAATATAGTGGCAAATTTGTAAAAATATATAACTTAATTTTATTTTAAAAGTTCATAAGTCATAACTTAACAAGAGTATGAAATTCTCTATTGATTGGTTCCTTGTAGGTTTGGTTCTTATAGATGTCCAAGCTTCACTTTCTTTTTGTCCTCCTGCTTTGTAGTCATTGTACAAATAACTATTGCATTTATGGCAACATAAGGAATTCACATATACAATATTCTTATGTGACTTCAATTACATTACATGTCGATGATGTTTTTATGGTTCAATTGCTACAAGTGAACCTCTTGTCGAGTAAACGTAACCCAGTTTATATGGTCCTATTGCAGTTCTTCACGCTTTATATCAAACACCTTGATGAGTACATCTTCCACAACCTGCACATTTTCATTCATTGTTCAAAACTTCAAGACTTGTGAAATGCAAATGTAATGATATAATAGCATGTAACATGCAGTTATCAACACAATGAAAAGTTCACTATTGCATTTCCATTTTGGTCCACACCAGAATGATAGTCCGGAGATGTTTTTGGGTATGCAACTGATTTGTAAATTCTGAATTTACCCCAGCTCAATCATCCACACTAGTAAAAGTACTCAATAGGATATGGTCAACTTTACAAATGGTAAAAATGGGAATTGCGTATAAAATTATTTGTTCACTTGTTCCAACTAACCTAAGTGTTGTTTCTTAACATATGCCTCATAAGTTGATTTGTATCTCTATTCTTGTATTCATTTTGCAGGTGTAAGTTTGTAAAAAGAATGAAAAAGATAAGAACAAGTAAGCCAAACTAATGCTTGTTGGAGCACAATGTTAAGAAGGTTATTAATACCTTATCTGGAGTGGATGCACCAGATGTTATCCCTATTGTGAGGGGTCCTTCAGGCAGAAAGTTTTCCTTCTCAACCAATTCACCATGCTATTTAAAAAGAATATACAGAAAATAAGGGAAACATGTGCAAAGGTGGAAACTTTATACTCATAATTCAAAATATCATGCTAACAACATAACTGCTCACCAGTAGCTTGTAACTTATTTTGTTCCCAGGTCCAATTCTCTGCTCACTGTCAACCCAATATGACGGGATTCCGCGTTCCTCTGCAATCTCTTGTAGGTGTGAAGTATTGCTCGAGTTCCAACCACCAACTACCAACATAAGATCCACCTTGTCCTCAACTAGCTTATACATGGCATCTTGTCGCTCCTAAGATCATATCCAATTTATCATTAAGAATGCAATAAATGCCAATAGTAGCCATGGAATTCATGGAAAAGATACATGACATACTTGAGTAGCATCACAGATAGTGTTGAAGCTCATGAAGTGATTATTGATGTTTTCAACTCCATACTTGCGCATCATGGTCTTCTCAATTAACTTTCCTGCATTGAGCGAAACAGAACCAACATATAAGACTACACTGAAGTAAGGCAATGTTTGGAAGTTGAATTTTAGAGGGTTTTGGACAGTGAGGCGTTTTTTATCATTTAAAAACATTAGTTTGACCTGTTTTTTTCAAAATAAAAGGTATAAACTGTAAAATGGTTTAAACTCGACTCTTTGTCATTTATTTAGTCATTTATATGTTAATATGTTATTATCATGAACCCTCTCCTCCCTTCACCTCCAAAACCCTCCAAAATCTAATTCCCACACCCTGAGGGTGTCAGGTTGGATGGAGGTGGGCTGGGGGTGGGGTGAAGGGTTCTAGATGGGAAGACTTTGAAGGGCTTAGTCTTTTTCTTAATGAAAAGAGTATTTTTTTAAGAACAAATAAAGAGTGATCGAAATGTTATCTGATTCAGATATTATGTTATTCCTTCAATTTTTGTAAAATCTCACATATGAAGTACGAAGTATATATCTAGGTATAGTTATACTTAGCTCTCCATAACCCTCCTTCCAAACTGACCCTAGATGGACAACCAAGCATGTGACGTAGAAAGAGACTGACCAATATCTTCAGTTTCTCCCTTCAACATTGTTGTCTGGTTAGCAATACCAGCTTTACAGAGATCGGTGTCTGGATCAAAACCTTTGGAGATTGCAAATTTAAATTTCTGCACAAAAATACAAATTTCAGAATTCAGAGAAGCATGTCTCATAATAATAAACAACACGACATCAAACGAATGAGAAAAGGAAGAGGCTCATTTTCACCTCTAGAAACGCTTCTTTTGTTGAACTAGAACCATCAAGTTGACCTCCAAGAATATAATCACAAACATAGGTTGCCTGCAACAAGTGTATAGTTCTTGATATTATAACTGCTTTGAGTTGTCTTCCATGCATTTCTAGAAAGAAAAAAGACTTCAACGCTTTACATTGTTTGTATTGATAAAGAGACAGGCAGCCAACATACCTCTGCCATGTTCTTAACTATGATGTATTTTCTTGCAAATGATGCAGTGGCTATAGTCTCTTCATGAGCATATTTTCCATGAATGACAGAGGTGTACTCTCCATTCTTGTGTTTCTCAACCACATTCCAAACCTGGAAATAAAATCGGAAAGACCCAAGATGAAATACCTGTTGGCAACTTAGAGCCCGTTTATTAAGGCCTGAAATGTGAAATTTGGTTGACTAAGAAGTGTTTGGTGATAAAATGGGCGACAAGCCTTAAAAAGACTATTAAACGTACAGTTGGATAAATATTCTTGAAACTATAGATGGATTAGATGACCCACCTTAGAAACCCATGGGCAGGTCGTATCAACTAATTGTACATTCTTTTCACTAAGAGTTACCAGCTCGTCAACAGAGGCCCCAAATGCAGGCAAAACCACAACATCACCCTTTTCCACAACTTTAAAATTTTTATTTCCGTGATCTACAGGTATATTCTTGACTTCCATTTCCTCTAGGCGCTGGACACAATGAAGGCAAACATTTCAGAATAAAAGCACCAAATTCAAATATAATGCAATATTAGCCAATATGGTCAATCTAATCTCAAAATATAGACCAACAAAAAGGATAAACCAAAATGTGGCACCTTATTTACTGTAGGGTTGTGTATAATTTCATTTGTAAGCCAAATCTTTTCAGTTGGGAATTGCTTTCTTGCTTCATAAGCTATCTGGACTGCTCGCTCAACCCCCCAGCAGAATCCATACGCTTCTGCAAGCTTGACTGTTACATTTCCCCATGTATATTCAAAGCCATTCTCTTTCAACTTCTTTATAATATCACCTGAAATGTGAAGAATGTTTTGAATAGTTTCGTAGCTGACAAAAACAAAACTGGGAACCTCAAAGTCAAGCACGAAATTGGGGGAAAATTACTGGTATACTCGCGATTCATGAGTTCGAGAGTTTCTTCTTTGTGACCAAACCCCTTGCGATTGTAATTCGAGCTTCTGGTCAAATTCTTCCGGAACGTCTTAGGATCAAACTCCGAATCGACGATCACTGAAGAGGAGGATGAAGCTGAGTCTGTGGAGGAGCATCTGATGACAGAGAAAGGCTTCCGGAGCTGGAAAATCCTGGACTCCGGCGAGA